ATTATGTGCATTTATGTCTTGAAGATATTCCCTTTTTGTAATATTTTCTTCTGTAATATTATTTTCTGTAATATTATTTTCAATAATATTGTCTGAAATTTCTTCAGCCCAAGGGAACTGTGATGGTATAGTCCCTTTACGTAATTTTGGTATTTTATATAGTGCAGACTAAAAATATTTATAACACATTTCCAACATAACAATCACATAAGTTATATAACTGTTATTTAAAAAGCTGTTCTTTAATGTTTAAACTGTTATTTAACAGTTNACTATATCTCTAATGAATATTTTCATAAAAAAATATTAAATAAACATTTATCAATTTAATCAAAATTTAATTTAGATAATTAACACAACTTACCACTCCAAGAACGTTTCCTTTTTCGTCACATATTTTACGTTTCCACAAAATGTCTGTAGGTAAAAAATGATAATGACATACAGCTTGTTTTGTATTTATAATTATGTCTGTTCTTTTTAAAGCTGCTTGCCACATTTGTTTTATACTTTTGTCTTTTGGAACAAAAAAGAAATGAACTTTTTCTTTGTTAGATGTATAACCTGATGTACATCCAAATGCAATACAGCGCGGCATCGTTTAACTAAATTAAAATAAAATAAGCTTTTCAATTTTACATTATTCATGTGTTTTTTTAAATTACTATTGATTTTAACTTTTTATTTTACCTTTGCTGACGATACAACTTTGTGAACAATGTGAAGTTGTTGAAGTCACTAAAGTTGTAGGTTACATTAAATGTAAATACCGTGGTAACTGTTACCTAGCGCCGCCTAGCGGCCTGGTGTCATTATGTGGACACACCGAAATAAAGGATATAATAGGAAGTGTCAGGGGGCTGCTTACAACTCCGCAGCAAAACGCGCCGTCCATTAAGTCAATGCGCGCTGTGTACCAAGCACACTAGCCGCGGGCAATAATTACGTTCAGAAAACTCAACGGTTGTGGGACCTGATTTATGATAGAACTATTCTTCAAAACTTGCTATGGCTCCAAAAGTATGATCCAATCATAAATGATTATCTCTCAACCGTTGTGCAACTGTTGAGTTGTCTGAACGCACCCAATGTGTTTCACTGAGTGTTTTGTTGCGCACAAAAATAGTGCGCACTGTTTGGTTAATATTATATTTGTTGTAAAACAAAGATTTTAAGTATGTTGATTGGCTATCAAATACAGTTCTTTATAAAACTCTATCTGATAGCCAATCAACATACTTAAAATCTTTGTCTTACGACAAATGTAATATTAGGCTGGATCCTCATGCAGACACCGGCGCTTTGACACCGAGCGTTGATTGGCGAAAAGCGGGTGGTGAGGGTAAATGGCAAGAAAACGGCGCTAAAGCAACGGAGCTGTCATGAGGATTGAGTTTTCCATGATTTTTTGGCGTTGAAGCGCCGAAATGTGTGTGCCACCGCAAATATACTCGGATTTTGATGTTTCTTGATTTTTTGTGGAACATAAAAATTATATATATTTACATTCCTTGACAACTCGACGTAACGTGCGTAGTTACATAAGATATTTTTGGACAAGTTTTAGATGTCTTAGACCCGGTTTCACAATTCGCGGTTAACTCGAATTAACCGAAGTTCGACTTGCTGAGCTCGGTTTAACGCGTTCAATCTTCTTTGTCAAATCTTNGCTAACCAATCACAGTTTATGTTTAGGAAGAAAAGATGCGTTACGCCGAGTTCAGCAAGTTGGGCTTCCGTTAATTTGAGTTAACCGTCAATTGTGAAACCGGGCCTTAGTAAGTACCAGTAATCTCAGTACTAGCTAATCTCGGTTTGGCATATGCTCCTCCCGCGAAGGAGCAACGCGTTATTTAAGCAAAGAAGAAGAAGAAGAAGAAAATTGTATTACACTATTAAACAACTTAGACTTACATTTATTTTCATAATATATACATATTATTGCAGAATTTTATTGAAAAAGATATTTGCTGAAGTACTTACTTGAAGGTTTGTCATTTGTTGCACGTATATTTATGCTAAATTTGTTTAATCCGATGTTTTAATGCAAACATCGGATTAAACGAATTTTATCTTTCACAATATGTATATATATATGTCATTATATATATGTTACCTATATATACATATATGTTTGTGAAAAAATTGTACAATACGCTGTCCCAAAAAGTTGAGCTCGGTCGAACTTTTGGGCGCGCTATTGTTATCAGAATGTAACTAGACAAGTGTTGTAACTGCTGAAGATCAATTTTTTTAATTTTGTGAAAAGGATGTAAAATCAAATAGATTTACATATCATTTAATAGAAAAAAACAATAAAAATAGTTTACAATTTAAAAATATATCTATAAAATAGGATATAAATTATCGCTTCACTTATTCTCAATTGAAGAGCTCTCATTGGCTGTTGCTCAACATTTGAAACAGCGCTTGAGCGCTGGTGCTAAAGCGCCAGTGTCTGCATGAGGATCCAGCCTGAGAGCTGAAATTTGAGATTGGAAACGAGATCTAAGATTTGAGAAGCGACTATGAATTCGGGCCTCAATGACGCGCTGTGTACACACCATAGAGCTTATACTCATAGGGTGTGTTTTGCCGAAGTTAGCGCTACGTAGCGCTACGTAGCGGTTTCATGTAGCAGTTGCAACTGCTGCGTTACTTCTGCTGGACAGTATTGCTACGCGCAGCATGTTCTAAGTAGTGACCGCCATTTTTGTAAGCAGTTGCAACTGCTACATGAAGTCGCTACGTAGCGCTACGTAGCGCTAACTTCGGCAAAACACACCTATAGACTACATTTACACCATAGACTTATTTAATAGACGGAACATTCGTGTAAGAGGAGCTGAAGTCTTCGTTAAAAGAGACAGAAATAGTCGTAAAGTAGTTCTCTTCTTTTCTAGTGAGTTGATTGGTGGCCGCGGCAGGCCGAGAGCAACGTAGATAGAGTTCGAGAGTCAGTTGAAAGAAAGTGATAGTGAAAGGTGATAGCATAGACTTGTGAGATGATTGGTTTCTCACCATCTTATTGTAAGAGAGAGAGAGACAACTACTCCAGCACTATCTCTGTCCTTTAATGTTGTTCTCAACTTCGTCATATAAATGTTCCGTCTATTATATAAGTCTATGGTTTACACGCACTGGTAAAAACGTTTTAGCAAAAACCGGTTTAGTAAATCCTGTTTTATGGTGCCTGTTTACACGATCAGGCGTATTTTACTTCCACCAAGAACAAATTAGCTTTATTAAACCCGAACAAAATCTTTTGCCAACATAAAAGATTTGGCGCTTGAAATTGTTTGTTGTAGAACATTCCGTAACTGGTAACAGATAGAAAAAGTTACGTTTTGCGATTGTGAAATTTACAAAAATGGAAATTATGCACAACTTGTTTAAAATATATTTTGTTTGCATCTGTTTGTGGGTTTTCATATATCCTTTTTTGTGCATGGGCTTTTCCAGCAATTTGAATATTTCGTTCCTTCGAAATTTTTTTTCATCCAAATATTTTATCATTTTTTGCTCTTTCATTAAATTTAGAAAAAATCATGTTTTTTCATTTTCCCATTGATCTCGTTTTTTACAGAATAATCCATTATCCTTAGAATCCATTTTGAATCGATGCTGTATGAGATCGATATTTCGTTAGATTCCATATCCTTTGTACTTCCTTACAAATATCTAAAGTTGGTAATTTTGATATGTTAAAATCATTGAAGACCGTTTACACGTCTTTCTTAAAACGGTTTAATAACGCCAAACTGCTTTCAGAAGAGGTTTGACTTTACTAAAACAGTTTTCATAACATCAGTATTAAGGAACGTTTACAGGACATCTAATTCCGGTTTTTACTAAAACGGTTTTTATTAAAACTGTTTTATCAGTACGTGTAAACATAGTTATAGCAGAGAGAAGAATGAGAGCGGCCAGGGCTGTGTTCAGTTAAGCAAGATGGAACGAACTAATGCAGGAAATGCAGGAAATACAGGAATTGGAACTAATGAAACTAATGAAACTAAT